TGTTCATAATATATTCATTGCCCTTGGTAGTACAATAATGTTAACTCAAAGACACAATGATTAAGTATAACTTTATTGCTTAACAATTCTTTAATAGAATCAAAAATTAGATGATAATTAAGATAGTATATTTCACCTTCATATTTTACTATAGGTACTTTTTTAAAAAAAATATGTTGCACCATAATTTTGTTTAAACACTGCTTTCTTTGTTGTATTGAGGTAGGTAAAATAATATTATTATGTGCTATTTTTTTTGAAAAATGAAGTATTTCACTCGCACATAAATCTGACAAATTTCATTTAATAACCAACTTCATAAAGTTACCGAATTCTTCACTTGGAAAATTTGGCATATTCTCACTATTTGCTGACTCAACATCAAGTGACTCAAAAACTAATGGTGACTTAACTTCAAACCATTAACACTCTACAATGTCCATCTACATATATATATATATATATAATTTTTGTAATTATTGAGTTAAATAATAAAACTTAAAACCCTTAAAAATATATATTAATATATATATATGTACTATGTATGTATAATGTATATATATACTATATACAGTACTTATGTACCTCTGGTTCACCTATCTCATCTATGGCATCTTCATTATTTATTTCATCTATCTTAATATTATCATTATTTGCTTTATTTATTTCATCTATTTCATTAGTTTTATTGTTTATTTCTTTACTATAACTAATTTCTAGTCTGTTTGTTTTTTCTATTTCATCTACTTCAACACCTTTATCTATTTCATAGTTCATTTCATTATCTTCATTATTTATTTCTTCACTATAACTAAATTCTAACCTATTTGTTATCTCATCTATTATATTGTTTTCTATTCTGGTTCAATATCTTTGTTATTATTAAATGAAAACCCATCTATTTCATCTAGCTGGTTATCATTCCATTGGTTATTAATTTCATCTTCCCATTGAATAAATTGTTCTTTTCTTAATATGTTATTACTGTCTTTTGCAATAACAATTTTTTGAAGAAGGTCTTCTATTGTATTATTATGGATTTTTAAATAATTGTGCACAGAAGAACAACAATTAAAGTATCTATTACAGCCTGGTTCAGGACAATTGTGCATCATATATTTATACAATGTTACAAGTTAACTAACATCTAATACATAATATAATTAAAATAATATGATTAGTTAATTTAATGAAAGTCTATTGCTAAAATACCAGTTTAGCACTAGTATTAATTGTATTATAGTATTAACTTTAAAGTTATATTACACAGATCTTATTATGCTTTTAGATTTGTACTATCATCAAATGCATGTATATAAAAAATTTTTAAAGATTTGAATTAGCTTATTCAACTTTCTTTTTTCTGACTGCCCAAAACTTGTAAAAGCTTTAATACATAGTGTTATTTTTTATTACAGAACCATTTCATTTTAAAAAAATTTAATAATATACAATACACTAGTTGAATGACGAATATTTCAGAAGTCTTGTTCACTGCACTTATTGAAAAAAAACTTTTACCTGACTATATTGAACCTAATCTACACATTTGTGTCTAAATTAAATAGCCAAGCAACTTGAAGCAAAGATGCATGATATTCAACAAAAAATTCAACATGCAATGGTAATAAATTCGACAAAGCAGTGCAAAAGAAGAACTAGCCAACATTATCAAAAAATTATTCAAATTATTAAAAAGTAAGTGCAAACTCAAAATTTAAAAATTCATCCATTATGAAGTTGACTTTTCTATTATATCAGTTATTAAAGAAAGACATATGATAATTTGTTAGACAATTATTCCAATTTATTGTTATTAACTATTAAAGTAAACTAGAGGTATATAATACAAACCTATGTTTTTAAGAGTTCAACTTCAATAATTAACACAACTAAATAAAAATTATGTAGTAAAAATTATGTACAATCTCAATCGCTTAAATCAAACTCTGTTATTTTCATAATTCTTAGCATCATTTAGCAGAGGTAGCTAATGATAACTATTACCATAGCCCAATATCCAAAAATATATTAATAATTCACCCATCAATAATATCTCTGCATAGTCACCTTACTGAGATAAGTCACATATCAATGTGAACTTTTTTATGCTTAATACCAAGCATCTACAAATTTATGCATTCTAGCATTATGCTTTTATGCAAGTTAATTACCAATAAAAAATACAACTATAAGAAATAAAATGTTGAACTTAAAGAACAGGTATATTCGATAAAAAAACAGTTTTTATTCTGATCAATTTTAGCAATTTACATTGGGATTTGTCAGTGCTACGAATATACAAACATCAACAAATTGAAATATGAAATTTACTATGTGGGCAATGTATACAGAAAATCTATCGAATCAATATTTGTGAGATGAATATAGAGATAAAAATCAAGGCAAAATGTTAAGACCATATTTGTATATAGTCAGCTAGCATAACATAAATTTGTATACGAATTCAAAATAAAAAAGTAGCTTTACACTATTGAGATTGTTAAGTAATAAAGTTATACTTAATCATTGTGTCTTTGAGTTAACATTATTGTACTACCAAGGGCAATGAATATATTATGAACA